TGGCCAATATATAATATAAAAATAACAAGTAACCATCATGGGAAATCTCCCGTTATGCAATACACTGCCGGAACTGGAACGCTCTGAAAAGATATCACATACACGGTACACTGAGCAATGAAATATAATAAAATCACTTTCCTCCACTCTTGGAGATACAGTAAAATATTTTGTCACAACTCCACACAACTGAATGTGTCTCTATTGTGTCTGTACACACGTCTTCACTTACAGTTGGGCCCACTCCTCAACTTGATTGACGTTAGAACAGGTGTAACTCACACGTCTCCACTTCCCATCACCTCACAGGTGTTAAAAGGGACAATGTCAAGACGGAACACTGACTGCAAAGCCAGCTTCTGAGTTTAACACAACACAACAAAAGAGAAACAGGTATTTACTCCTTAGTCACCGATCGGTCTAATTCACACACACACATCCATACGTTTTCCCCCACTTGCTGCTGCAGTAGGTGGTGAAATGGGCGTCCTCCCACTTCGCTCACGTGGTCAGCTGGACCACGGGGTGGCTGGCTCGGTGTCATGATACACGAACCAGGGTGTGGCGGTGGTACTTACCCGGGACCAAGGCTCGGCAGGAGGAGCTAGAGACGGGTGCGGCTCGTAGTCTCACACAGCTAAAATGGAACCACGTCTTTAACACGGCGCGGAGAGGAGTAACTTTCTCTCCCCTAAAGCCCTCAGGGAACAAGAGCAACTTTCTCTCGCCTAAAGCCCCCAGGGTAGAAGAGTAACTTTCTCTCGCCTAAAGCCCTCAGGGAAGAGGAGTAACTTTCTCTCCCCTAAAGCCCTCAGGGAACAAGAGCAACTTTCTTTCGCCTAAAGCCCTCAGGGAACAAGAGCAACTTTCTTTCGCCTAAAGCCCTCAGGGAACAAGAGCAACTTTCTTTCGCCTAAAGCCCTCAGGGAACAAGAGCAACTTTCTCTCGCCTAAAGCCCTCAGGGAAGAGGAGTAACTTTCTCTCCCCTAAAGCCCTCAGGGAACAAGAGCAACTTTCTTTCGCCTAAAGCCCTCAGGGAACAAGAGCAACTTTCTTTCGCCTAAAGCCCTCAGGGAACAAGAGCAACTTTCTTTCGCCTAAAGCCCTCAGGGAACAAGAGCAACTTTCTTTCGCCTAAAGCCCTCAGGGAACAAGAGCAACTTTCTCTCCCCTAAAGCCCTCAGGGAACAAGAGCAAAGAAAGTTGTCTAACAGACATTTATTACACACAAGAACTCACAATATAATGATTAGATGGTGCCTTGGACGGGGTTCTCAACTTGAGGCTCTTCTCTCAGTCATTTAAAAAAATTCAGTTAAACATCAAGTCAAAAAATTATGGCACGGATAAATATATATCAAACCAATACTCAACTCCTCAAATACCATACACCAACAATAACCTGAGGATATAACATTATGTCATCACCAGAGATCGTTGCCTCAATAAATGTCGTTAATCTTCCATGTCGTCTTAATAAATAGTTAATCTTCTGTTAATAAATGCTTCAACATATAAATCAATAATAATGGATTAATACTCTCACCTTCTTTCTCTGCATCAAGTACACCAACATATACATTCCACTCACAAACAAACACAGACGACCAATCCATCCTCCATATATCACTTTGCAAATTGATGTCCCTTGTAATCAGACAAGATTCCTCTTTACCAATTGATCTTCTAGTAAACTAACAGCAGAATCATCCATTAATTGGTTCTCAAATAGGTGTAAACACCTCCTATACACGAACCTGCAAGTTTACCACAACAAAATAATATCTTTCCAGCTATTAAATGATTGAATTATATCTTCAACCCCCCAAAGTCATCAGCTGGCCTGCTCCGTGAAAGGTACTCCCCCTTCCGTGCGAGTCCACTTGCTGGCGCGACTTATCAGTCGACTACAGTTCAGCGAGCATGTGTCGCTCTTTCCTCCATCATGCTATACCATCTTAAACTCCTTACATAATTTCAATAGTATTGCATGCAGCACTAATTTGTGAGTAAACACCAATACCAGACCCCAGGGCACTAATACTCTCCGCATAAGGTAAACTATGCTAACCAAAGGATCAAGTGAGGAATAACTCTCACTTTGTGGCAGACGAGGCCACAGGAGGTTCACAACACTGTGCCAAGAAGAGTTATCACCAGAGTATTCAGTAAGAATCATTGTGTGGCCTTACAAGTGGCGGGAGACAAGTGCCCTGTTTGGTAAGCTTTAGTGGCAGTGATTTTCTCTTAACGTAAAGGACTGTGTGTAACACTTAACTTAGTTTAATATATTATTTACATTCAAGGCAAATGGAGAGACCTTTGACATGCCGCCGGCTTCCTGTCCTCTTCGCTGTTACTAGTGTTAGTGACCCTCAGGTAAATTCAGGTAAATAGGCTTTCGAGCAAACCTCTTTTCCCCATATTCTCTCTCACACGACTTAAACACGGAACTTCCTGACTCACTGACTCTCAACACCATCCCGTGGGTTAAGCGGCTTCACAGCCTTGCGTCAAATTCACAACACCATCTCGAGAATAGTGCTGCTTCACAGCCTTGCGTCATATTCTCAACACCATCCCGAGAGTAGAGCTGCTTCACAGCCTTGCGTCATATTCTCAACACCATCCCGAGGGATGAGCTGCTTCACAGCCTTGCGTCGTGTTCATCTGACACCCCCCCCCCCTCCCCCCCCCCCAGTGTTCTAAGCCGTCTAGCCAGTGTCGTTTGAGGAGGACGACGACCCATAATGCTAGGTGTCATAGTGGGAGAGATCATTACTTGATGCTACTGTCTCGGCCACTGACGTGTCGGTGTCGTCTTGTTAGCTCTGTGGGTACCTCAACATGGACTATTGCAAGTGCAACGTGCTATTGTAGGTCTTCTGTCAGACCTCAGTCATTACAATATGCTTGGTTATATATAGCGTGGCAAGAATACCTTAAATAGCAGTGTGCTTAGTTACATCTGGTGTGGCAAGAATACCTTAAATAGCAGTGTGCTTAGTTACATCTGGTGTGGCAAGAATACCATGAAGGTTACTGTGCTTAGTTACATCTGGTGTGGCAAGAATACCATGAAGGTTACTGTGCTTAGTTACATCTGGTGTGCCAAGAATACCTTAAATAGCAGTGTGCTTAGTTACATATGGTGTGGCAAGAATACCTTAAATAGCAGTGTGCTTAGTTACATATGGTGTGGCAAGAATACCATGAAGGTTACTGTGCTTGGTTACATCTGGTGTGCCAAGAATACCGTGAAGGTTACTGTACTTGGTTACATCTGGTGTGCCAAGAATACCGTGAAGGTTACTGTACTTGGTTACATCTGGTGTGCCAAGAATACCGTGAAGGTTACTGTGCTTGGTTACATCTGGTGTGCCAAGAATACTAGTTACATCTGGTGTGCCAAGAATACCTTAAATAGCAGTGTGCTTAGTTACATATGGTGTGGCAAGAATACCATGAAGGTTACTGTGCTTGGTTACATCTAGTGTGCCAAGAATACCGTGAAGGTTACTGTACTTGGTTACATCTGGTGTGCCAAGAATACCGTGAAGGTTACTGAACTTGGTTACATCTGGTGTGCCAAGAATACCGTGAAGGTTACTGTGCTTGGTTACATCTGGTGTGCCAAGAATACCGTGAAGGTTACTGTGCTTGGTTACATCTGGTGTGCCAAGAATACCGTGAAGGTTACTGTGCTTGGTTACATCTAGTGTGCCAAGAATACCGTGAAGGTTACTGTACTTGGTTACATCTGGTGTGCCAAGAATACCGTGAAGGTTACTGTACTTGGTTACATCTGGTGTGCCAAGAATACCGTGAAGGTTACTGTGCTTGGCTACATCCGGTGTGCCAAGAATACCGTGAAGGTTACTGTGCTTGGTTACATCCGGTGTGCCAAGAATACTGTGAAGGTTACTGTGCTTGGTTACATCTGGTGTGCCAAGAATACCGTGAAGATTACTGTACTTGGTTACATCTGGTGTGCCAAGAATACCGTGAAGGTCACTGTGCTTGGCTACATCTGGTGTGCCAAGAATACCGTGAAGGTTACTGTACTTGGTTACATCTGGTGTGCCAAGAATACCGTGAAGGTTACTGTGCTTGGTTACATCTGGTGTGCCAAGAATACCGTGAAGGTTACTGTACCTGGCTACATCTGGTGTGCCAAGAATACCGTGAAGGTTACTGTACTTGGTTACATCTGGTGTGCCAAGAATACCATGAAGGTTACTGTGCTTAGTTACATATGGTGTGGCAAGAATACCGTGAAGGCTACTGTACTTGGTTACATCTGGTGTGCCAAGAATACCGTGAAGGTTACTGTGCTTGGTTACATCTGGTGTGCCAAGAATACCGTGAAGGTTACTGTACTTGGTTACATCTGGTGTGCCAAGAATACCGTGAAGGTTACTGTACTTGGTTACATCTGGTGTGCCAAGAATACCGTGAAGGGTACTGTGCTTGGCTACATCTGGTGTGGCAAGAATACCGTGAAGGTTACTGTGCTTGGCTACATCTGGTGTGCCAAGAATACCGTGAAGGTTACTGTGCTTGGTTACATCTGGTGTGCCAAGAATACCGTGAAGGTTACTGTACTTGGTTACATCTGGTGTGCCAAGAATACCGTGAAGGTTACTGTACTTGGTTACATCTGGTGTGCCAAGAAAACTTTAAACGTTCGTCGTTGATACTGAACTTCATTAATCTGATCTTTCATCATGGACATAGATATTATTACAATATTTGCGAAGCCAACGTTTATCAGTCCATTTTAGTCACACTTGACTTTCTCCTGCTTCCACCATTGCTAGTTCCAGTATGACAAAGTGATCTTCAAGATCAGAATCTCTGGCTAAGTATCATATTTCTTGCAATATTCCTCTAAGTATTCCTCTTTCTTGCAAGTGTTGCTGCTCCTGCCTGACGGAGACTCTCAGCTAAGGAACTCACCAGAGTACAACAGTAACTAAGTATCTACTCTATCTTGCAGGTGTTGCTGCTCCTGCCTGACGGGGACACTCAGCTAAGGAACACACCAGAGTACAACATAGTGATTAGCAACATGATCTACTCTGATAGTCCTGGTCGTCGCCTGAACTTTGTAGGATCCTTCAATGCTGTGGCATAACGTTTAGGCGATCAGAAAACTTTATTGTGTAAACTCTTATACAAGTCAGAATCCCAATGAGTAAGCCTGGGTTGTATTTACAGATATCAGGATGACTAATTCGATCTTGCACTAGTGATAAATGACAGATTTCACAGTAGCTTCAACATAACCTGTGTGTCCAGATCTTCTTAATATGGCTGTGAGGGCTGATGATATTGTGTGCCTTTCTCTCAAAATAAACCTATACATAAGTGCAGTAGAAGGCTCTCAAATATATAACCCTAATATAAGTTCACCCGGGCCATATTATTAAAAAAATAAAAAAAAAATAAAAAAATTATTTGAATTATAATATAGTTAAATATAAAACAGTGCACAAGTTATTATGAGTTAGAATATTGTACTTACTAACGGTCTCGTGTCTCAAGAACAATAAATAGACTAACAATTTAAGTCCTCAAATTCAAGTAAAATATTAATGCTAAACTATAATAGAGAATGCAAGCAGTCAACGCCTAACCAGTGCACTAAGGTAAAGCTTGTAATTAAAATTAAATAAATCACAAAATTTCAGTGTGTTTCCTTCCAACATTAACCTTTGACTACTCTAATAAACTGTATACGGATAAGAATATTTAGTCATAAATACCAACCGACAAGAAATAATAATTTAAACATTTGTACGAAATCATTCCGTTTCATTATGAAATGGAAAAATATGAGCAACACCAACACCTTGAAATGATGAGAGAGCAAGAGACGACCAAGTGAATACTTCAGAGAGCCAACTGAGATATTATATGGAGTTAGAGCAGCCAAGAAGGACTATTGGTGGAGTTGGCTTCAGCTCCATATAGAGACACAGGCAAGTCTGGTCACTTATACCAAGAATCAACACAAACCTCTCCCGCACCATATGCCACTCCTCCTGTCCCGGGTGCCTCTATACACTGGACATACCCGCGTGCCTCCATACACTGAACATACCCGGGGTGCCACCACACACTGGACATACCAAGGTGCCTCCATACACTAGACATACCTGGGTGCCTCCATACACTAGACATACCTGGGTGCCACCATAAACTGGACATACCCGGGTGCCTCCTTACACTGGACATACCCGGGTGCCTCCATACACTAGACATACCTGGGTGCCTGCATACACTGGACATACCCGAGGTGCCTTGATACACTGGACATACCCGGGAGCCTCCATACACTAGACATGCCCGGGGTGCCTTGATACACTGGACATACCCGGGAGCCTCCATACACTAGACACCCGGGGTGCCTTGATACACTGGACATACCCGGGAGCCTCCATACACTAGACATACCCGGGTGCCTTGATACACTGGACATACCCGGGAGCCTCCATACACTACATACCCGGGGTGCCTTGATACACTGGACCCGGGAGCCTCCATACACTAGACATACCCGGGGTGCCTTGATACACTGGACATACCCGGGAGCCTCCATACACTAGACATACCCGGGGTGCCTTGATACACTGGACATACCCGGGAGCCTCCATACACTAGACATACCCGGGGTGCCTTGATACACTGGACATACCCGGGAGCCTCCATACACTAGACATACCCGGGGTGCCTTGATACACTGGACATACCCGGGAGCCTCCATACACTAGACATACCCGGGGTGCCTTGATACACTGGACATACCCGGGAGCCTCCATACACTAGACATACCCGGGGTGCCTTGATACACTGGACATACCCGGGAGCCTCCATACACTAGACATACCCGGGGTGCCTTGATACACTGGACATACCCGGGAGCCTCCATACACTAGACATACCCGGGGTGCCTTGATACACTGGACATACCCGGGAGCCTCCATACACTAGACATACCCGGGGTGCCTTGATACACTGGACATACCCGGGAGCCTCCATACACTAGACATACCCGGGGTGCCTTGATACACTGGACATACCCAGGTGCCTCCATATATTGGAAATACCTATGTGCCACCATACCCTGTACATGTAGGGGTGGCCTGTCTCCCTATATATGTTGGGAGGGCCTGGCTCCCTATACATGTTGGGGTGGCCGTGGCTCCCTATACTTATAGGGGTGGCCTGGCTCCCTATACATGTAGGGGTGGCCTGGCTCCCTATACTTGTAGGGGTGACCTGGCTCCCTATACATGTTGGGATGGTTTGGCTCCCTATACATGTAGGGGTGGCCTGGCTCCCTGTACATGTAGGGGTGGCCTGGCTCCCTGTACATGTAGGGGTGGCCTGGCTCCCTGTACATGTAGGGATGGCCTGGCTCCCTATACATGTAGGGGTGACCTGGCTCCCTATACATGTAGGGGTGGCCTGGCTCCCTATACATGTAGGGTGACCTGGCTCCCTATACATGTAGGGGTGGCCTGGCTCCCTATACATGTTGGGGTGGCCCGGCTCCCTATACATGTAGGGTGTGGGAAAAACCTGCTGGGATTGATATAAGAGGAGACTACCAGGGACTTGTACTGAACTAAATTAAAAATTTACTGTCTGCAAATTAATTCAATTAAAATCTCTAGCTAGGGTTGTAAATCCTAGCTCCTCTTTTCCTAATGACAGATTGTGGGCTGTAAGGGACAGGTGGGGTGAATGACTTAGTTGATAGAAGTTCCAGTCCACCTGTAGACAGGGATCTCACATCAGCTTGTATTTTATACAAGGATAAGATTTAATAAATTCAGTTATATGACTGAACACTGGCTCTGTTTAAATCAGGGATTTAAACATACATAGTCTAACCTAGCACCTTAACTATTAACAGCCAATATATACTTATACTATAAACAACAAATTAAATTGTAAAAGTATAATAAATGACCTTAAATGTAGTCTAAATACTGTTAACTAAGTACTAGAAATCATTCAATTAAATGAACTTATATGATAACTTAAAAATAACTAAGCAAGCAATTGATAACTTAATTTATATATTCAAGTATATATGCAATGTATTTATATTCAATTTATGATTAGGTACAGTTAGCTTGACTGAATCTCTTCCAACACTATGGACACTTATGAGGTTCTTTACTTATTGCGGCTGAATTCTTTTCTGACACAATGGACACTCACGAGTCTAGTGCTGGATAAGATTCACAGCTACACTACAATTTTAATAAACGTACTGAAAAATGAGGCGTTGCCTCGCTTTTTAACCAACAGACAGATTTATAGGATATTAAAGTCACACAAGCATACAATTGGCCAATCATATACCAAATAACCTTCAATATACTTCTCTGCCAGTCGGGGTGCCTTGTCTGACAAGGTGCCAGACTGATTAACTCTCTCTTGTTGAGTTTGGGCACGATATTTTGTCACAGCGTTGCTGTTTGATGATCTGGTAGCGTTGCTACGTGATTGTCCCTGCAGTTGCAGAAGAATGATAGGATAACGATTAAGAATGAAGGTGGAGGAAACCGTGTCACTGTGTGCTCCACTATTCACTCCTATTTTATATAAATGTTCTAGGATTTTCCTTGTAGATATTGTCCAGGTACTCCCCCAGTTCTAGAGAGTGTTCACTGGTGATAAAGATATTAGATAAGGTGTCCTTGAGCTGGTAATGTTCGCTAAGGATCCGTCACTTGTTCACTCAGTTGTAAACAAACGCGAAGTGCCCCGGGCTCTCTTGGTGGGCGCTTCACTCCCCCCCATCGCCCTGCCATGCTCCCTGAGCACGGTAGCCTTCTATGAATATTGATTGATTATTTTTACAGTCTAGACTTATGATTGAGATAAGATGTGATTATAATATAATTAGATATAGGATATAAAGATTATTAGTAGTACTTGATAGTACCACTGATTCTTATTAAGGATTCGATTTTATCCCTACCGGATGTTGAATAAATGTTCCAATAGTTTTTTAATTAACAAATCCTTCTAGAAGCTTCTGGATCCTTGAGAGATCATGCACAAAGTCACGTAGGCATCAATAGGGACCTGTAGCGTACGTGTTCATGGTGACATTGTCATCTAGGATCAAGCTTTATAATGAATCTTTAATGATTCTAATATGATTTTGATACGATTTAGATATGATTTTGATATGATATAGAAATGATATAGAAATTATACATTTCTTAGATGATTATTAGATATGGTGGGTAAAAATTTAAAAATTTCCCACAGGGACCTGGCTCTTTATACATGTAAGCCTGGCTCTCTATGCATGTAGGAGGGGCCTGGCTCCCTATACATGTAGAAGGAGCATGGTTCTCTATACATGTAGGAGGCGCCTGGCTCTTTGCTCATGGAGAAGGAGCCTCATTCTCTATACATTTAGGAGGGGGCCTGGCTCTCTATACATGTAAGAGGGACCCTGGCTCCCTATACATTTAGGAGGGGCTTTGCTCCCTATACATGTAGGAGGGACCTGGCTCTCTATACATGTAGGGGGGCCTGACTCAATATACATGTAGGGGATGTAGGGGTGGCCTGGCTCCCTATACAGGTAGGGAAGCCATATCTCACTATGCTTGTAGAAGGGCCTGCCTCCCTATGCATGAATGGGGAGCCTGGTTCCCTATACATGTTGTGGGGGGGTGGGGAGGGCTTGGCTCCTTATACATGTAGGAGGGTCTTGGCTCCTAATACATGTAGGAGGGGCCTGATTTCCTATATATATGGAAGGGTCTTGTTCCCTATACATTTAGGAGGGGCTTGGCTCCCTATTCACAAGAACGTCACTACACACGATATAAGACTGTCGACCATTGTCACAACAACGTCACTACACTATGCAACACTGTCGACCATGACCACAACGTCACTACACTGTACAAGACTGTCGACCATCACCACAACAATATCACTACACTGTTCAACACTGTCGACCATCACCACGACAACGTCACTACACTACACAAGACTGTCGCCCATCACCACGACAACGTCACTACACTACACAAGACTGTCGACCATCACCACGACAACGTCACAACACACTATACAATACTATCAAACATCACCTCATCAACATCACCACATACAATATACGACTGTAAACCATCACGACAACAATGTTACTACACTATATAAGACGGATGGCTATCACCACAAGAACGTCACCACATACTATAAGACTGTCGACCATGAGCAGAACAACGTCAACACACTTGGTTTCAACACACTTGGTTTCAAGAATAGGGATAGGCAGGAGGCCCTTAACTATAGACCTGTATCACTGACAAGCATCCCCTGTAAAATTGCTGAAAGAATAATTAGGCTAAGACTGGTTGCACACCTATATGAGGATTGTAGGATCATCCAAGAGGACTTATCAGATTGAAGAGATGGGCAGAGAAATGGTTACTAGAGTTTAACAATAGCAAATGTAATGTTATGGTAATGGGATTAGGTGACAGGAGACCAAAGGGACAAAACACAATGTAGGGGAACTGCCTACTTGTGACAACTCGAGAAAGAGACTTGGGCGTGGACGTAACACCTAATCTAACTCCTGAGGCACATGTAAATACCATATCGACAGCAATGTACTCTATATTGGCAAAAGTTAGAACATCA